CTGTTGTACGGATACGTGACCTGGCCTATTCGTAAAGATGACTTGCGCAGGCTATCCGTCTTCGAGCACCGCTGTCTGCGGTCCATTGCCCGTGTGTGGTGGCAGCACCACGTAAGCAATGTGGAAGTTAGACAGCGTGTCTTGGGACGTGGAAGCCACTCGCTCGAGGAGCTCGTCTCACTGCATCAAGTGCGGTGGTTGAGACACGTATTGCGCATGCCTGTCCAGCGTTACCCCCGTCGTGCGTTGTTTGCACTTGCTGGACAGGGCTGGAAGAGACGGTCTGGTGGACAGCCTACAACATGGAGAAGCCGCATGAAAAAGTTGACGAAACAGTTGGCGTCGGCCGGTTGTTGTCGACTACCTGGTTGGGGTCCGAGAGATGAGGATACTTGCTGGTTGAAGACCTTGGAAGTTATGGCTCAAGATCGATGTCAATGGCGGACGTGTGCATCGGTTCGTTGCGGTGTCCCTTCTTCCTCCCCCCAAAAAAAGAACAAACTGAAAAAATTTCAAAAGCTGTGTGCGGTAAAATAGACAAAAAAAGCATTTGTTGTTGCTCTTTTCTTATTATTCATATTGTTTTCCTATTCAGCCATGATTCCGATGGCACAATATCTGTACCACAGATTGTGTATAAGGTATATATATATATATATATATATATATATATATATATATATATATATATATCTATATATATTATCCTGCATGTTGTTTAATATTTATCTTCATGCAATGTTGTCTTATGCTTTTGATGCCGCTTGTGCTTACGGTGTTCGTGTGGAGCACCGTATTGATGGTGGGTTGCCTAGCATCCGTTGTTTCGGTGCGAGAACCCTAGTCTGTGAGACAACTATCCGTATGTTGCTGTTTGCTGACGACTGTGCGTTGTTTTCACACAGCGCGGATGAGTTGCAGTACAATAGCTACAATAGCGGCCAAATTCGCGCTCACCATCAACACAAGGAAAACTGTCTGTCTCTTTTAGCCTTCACCGGAAGCGCAGTCTACAATGGGGCCGCGAATGAGCATTGGTGCTAAAGTATTGCAAACCACCTCCCGCTTCTGTTACTTTGGGAGTGTGGTGTCGCTGACCAGCATCTGCGCAGTGAGCTTCGTATCCGCGTATCGAAGGCAGCGGCGGCATTCGGGAAGCTTGAGTACCGAGTGTGGAACAACCTCCAGCTTACCGTCGGCACGAAACTGATAATATATAATTCCACGGTGCTCTCCGTTTTCTGTACGGCAGCGAGGCGTGGACGATGTACCGTCGGGATGTGAGATATCTCGAGCGGTTCCATCAACTGTGTCTGCGACGGATTCTGCGCATTGGTTGGTTCGGCAGAGTGGCGGACACGGAAGTGTTGCGCCGAAGTGGAATGTATGCAGTGGACTGCATACTTTTGCTGAGACACATGAGGTGGCTCGGTTATGTGTGGCATATAGATTCGACGCGGATACTGAAGCAGTTATTATATGGTCAGCTGCGTGTTGGGAAGCGGCATGTGGGGAAACCGAAGCTTCGTTCCCAAAACGTGATCAAAGTGAGCCCCTCCCGTCCTAGTCTTGATTGAAGGTCATGGGAATCGAAGGCGGTTGATCGGCATGCATGGCGCGATCTGATCACAAAGGCCGTTGCCGATGTGCAAGAGAAATCCATCGTGCATGCAGAGAAGAAGTGGCAACTGCGGTAGCGACAGGCGCCGATGGGTTCTACATCATCGACATCGAGTGCATGGTGCTGTAGCACATGCGGTCCCGAGTGCCTGAGTCCGGCTGGCCTAGTGAGCCATGAGCGCGGCACTCTAGGCCAACACCGAAACGACGACGGGTCCTGCTGAAAACGTAGGCAGAACGGGTTCAGCGTTTGTAGGTACGCTGCATTCGTTTTACTAAATGCATGCTTACATGCTTTCTCTTTATTTCAGGTGGTGGCTTTACTATATTGTCTTAATGCTTTTTATCTCATATTAATGTCTACCTGAACTTGCACACGTTCCTTAAAATACTTTAATTTACTTCGATAGCTTTTTCGCGTTTGTGCCATTTTCTTAAAATATATTTCCCGACGTCTTAAACTTATCGCGGATTTGTTCGTAACCTATTTATTTCATATACTGATTTATTGAAGAGTTACGTCACCGTATCTGTATGCATTATTCCAATTATTTTATTTGATCTCGCCTTTTCAAGTGATTGGTTGTTGCTTGTTATTCCCAGTGTGGCTACTCTTGATGTGCATGTTGACAAGATGCCTACCTGTCTGTTACCCGCTACCTCGTCTATACTGGCTCCAGGAGACAGTTGTCTGTTGCTGAAACGGGACGGGGTGCACGGTCCTTGTGTTCGTACTAGCCTCGAATAGTGGTTCCATGCACTCAGTGTGGAGCGGACTACGGTCCAGCCACCGCCTTGTGTGCGCTTGATTCCCAAATACAGCGTGCTTGTGTTTGCTGTGAAGGAGTGTGGGCCGGCTCCGTTGATGAAACGTGGCTTCCATCCACATGCCTCCCGGTCTTATTCCTTCGGGTTTACACTGGATATGGGGTGTGTGGATGGAGCTATGGGTGGTGCAGCGCAAGCCATCCATGGTCCCTCTGTAGGCGCAGGCGTCCTGTGGCTGGCCACAGTGACATGCAAATCCGAAACCGGATGCCGCCAACCATGCAGGTAAACAGGACAAAACAAGATAAGTCGAATTAATCTTATCCAGCTTAAAAAGACCTAGTTTAAGCGTAAGCCGGTTTAGCCCAACTTCGGTGAAGAAGCCTCATGTATACAACATCAACCTCATCATTGGCACTATATATATATAAACATATACATACCGCGCGTACCGCATGCTGAGGCTGATGTCGCATTCATGATGCTTCTTCACCGCAGTTGGGCTAAACCAACTTACACTTAAACTAGGTCTTTTTATGTTGATAAAAATCATTACATTTTATTTTTTCTTGTTCTGTGTACTTGATAATCTTCTCCCAACTTACAAACGTCGCTCATGCAAATTGTGGTAAACGCGTAATTTTATCGCGTGGTATTTTTTAAATAACTTGCGGACCTTTTGTACTTATCGCGTATTCACATTTTACCATTTTCTTCCATATGCTCATTTAGCAAGTATTTATGTCGTCATATGCGTTTACTTTATTCGATATCGGCATTTCGAATGATTGGCTGTTGTTTGACATCCCACGTGTGGCTGCGCTTGATGTGCATGTTGACAAGGTGCCTACCTATCTATTACCCATTACCTCGTCCATCTGGCTCCAGGAGACAGTTGGTCGTTGCTGGAGGGGACGGAGTGCACGGTTCTTGTGGCCGTGCTAGGCTCGAAGAGCGGTTGCATGCACTCAGTGTGGAGCGGACTACGGTCCAGCCACCGCCTTGTGTGCGGTTGATTCCCCAAATACAGCGTGCTTGTGTTTGCCTGTGAAGGAGTGTGGGCCGGCTCCGTTGATAAAACGTGGCTCCCATCCACATGCCTCCCAGTCTTATTCCTTCGGGTTTACACTGGATATGGGGTGGGTGGATGGAGCTGTGGGTGGTGCAGCGCAAGTCACCCGTGGTCCCTCTGTAAGCGCAGGCGTCCTGTGGCTGACCACAGTGACATGCAAATCCGAAACCGGATGCCGCCAAGCATATGCCGCGCAGACGAAACCTCAGGCCTAGTGAAGTCCGTGTCTGATTTTCGGATGACGTGACCGAACCACTTAAGTCTGCGGCGTTGGACCTGCTGGAAACCGTCGCTTTTTTATCTCATGAACGCATTCGGACTAACTCTGGCCGGTCCGTTTCCGAAAGCATCACAACCCTGCCCTTTAATCCGAGGGCGCGGGTTCTAGCCTGCATAGAGGACAGGGTAACTGTCGCAACGTCTGTAGCCCCCTCACGACTGTTTGTCGTTGAGCGGCGGTGAAGTGTCGGTACTGCGTACTCTCGGACTGCTGATACCTGTGAGTTGGGCGCTGCACGGATAACTAAGTCACGTTTTCGTCTGAATCGCTGAGTAGAGCACTTTGCTATTCGCTTTACTTACCCAACACAACCCTCTGTGGCAGCTCCATTGCCATCATATGGTACTTAGCTTGTCTGCCCAGATTCTCTAATTGAACCAGAGATTCGCAGAGAAATTTAGCCCAACGAAACTCCTTCGGCCTTGTTCAAAATTGGAGGGGATGTAGTCATGAGTTACAAGTATTGACTGATGGGAAGGTTCCCAGCCCACGGGACGACTCTATTGTTTTCACGATTTACAAGAAAGCTGTCGAATCGAATGCACCAATTACCAATGAATCTCAATTAGCTGTCGCTTCCGAGGTTTCTGTATGCTTCGTAGGATCTCGGCTACTCAATGAGGTTTTCTCGCGAGATACAGACAGGTTTTTGTGCAGCGGAATTTGCGTGGATCAATTCTTCATACCGCTAAAATTCAGGTACCGTCACGTCCCGTGAAAGCCAACAATGATAATCTTTGTTGACATTCTAACAGCTTTTGAATTAGTCGATTGAGTATCTCCATGAAACTGTCTGCTAAATAATGGTGTGCCGCACAGGTTTATCGTAAACCTGAGAGTACCAAGTAGTGACATCGGGCACAATTAGAGCTCATGGCAGACCCCCTTCCTCGTTTACTGTTGTCCATGGCGAACGCCAAGATTGCCCTACCTTTTCACACTTTCCGGTCAACCTTACTATTGGATGTGTGTGCTGGAGACGAATTTTCACATCGAATCGCTAAAGATCATCCTGCATTCATTAACCCGGAACAATCCCATCGCTTTCGTGGTCTCAAACCTAAGAGCTGAATATGCAATGCTACCGTCCGTGCGGCCTATCCCATCCCCTTATAACATATTCACTTTAACATCCATTATTTCTCATAGCAAGCACTAGAGTTTCGGGGTTACGGTTGACTTTGTTGTGCCACAGGCGATGCTGTATGTTTTCTCCCTGTGTTTCATCTGCAGTTAATCACCTTCTGTTTTACTATCCAGATCATCGCCCCCATGAATGTGAACTCTGCGACAGATCGTTTTCTGATAAGTGCAGTTTGCGAAGACATGTCAGATCTGTTCATTTGGGTGAGTGTATGGATGATAGTATCATCCGTTGTCATTTCACCGTGATCGGTATAAGAAAGAGTGCATTGTGTTTCTGATGTTATGGTACTCACTCCCTGAGGGCGTCTTATTTCGCATAACGTTTTGATTTCTACACCAGTTTCTGTTCTGTGAAACGAATTATCCTGTCGGGTCGTTTGGCTTCCTCTACGGTCTATGTAGTCAGGCTGATAGCGATCCACTTCATTGTGTCCTAGTTGGAATTGTGTACCGTGCTGCATTCACACAGCGCTCACTCCAGCCAGCATTATGCTTATTCCCCAACCGTTGTGCCTGGTGCTGTTCGCAGACCTCGGCGATGTAATTGTGATAGCTTTAGCCAGCTATCTCATCGTCTCGAGTCTTATGCCGTCTGTTGCGTTATCTCTAATGACCCTTTGTGATAACGTGTGAAACGCGGTTTAGCACAGCCGAGATTACACCTCTTCGAGGTAGACGTCTGTGGAGTTAGAGTCGAGTATCTAATCTTGGTTGGCGTACACTTGTAGGTATTTTGGCCCCTAGCGAGTTACATACTGCCTCGTCTATCGGGTTATGAGCTCTATCTCTCTTAGGAAGCGCTTTCGCGTTTGCATGCCCTTTTGTATAGAGCCGATTATTCCACAGATGGTTTAAAATGCGATTTGCGTCCTCAGTGCATATTGGTTTGCGAAAAGCTCTGCTATCTTTATTGTTTCCATTGACATGAATGTTCAAATGGGTCTCCTATCGTACTTTGAAGGGCACCAAGGGTGAGTACGTTTCTTATTCGCTGCGCGTCGAAACTTACTTTCGGTCTTGTACTTCGAATATGCGCTGGTCTCAATCTTTGTCTTACCAACACTGTTTTCCAGTACAAACCCTCACATCTGTCACCTAGCACCCACCGAATTCCCCAACGGCCTCCAATCAGCCACGGATGGTGTACATGGGTTCGAATCTCAGTCTATTTGAAATACGTACCTGGATTCCGACCATGCTCCAGTACACAGACGCATAGCGCTCTCTCATCCCGCTTCAACTTAACATCCAACTGCCATGCGGTTCGACTATTACTTGAATTTGACTTCTGAGTTAGTTTTGTGCAAACCTTAGTAGTGTTCTTTAGATTGCCACTGTCGGTGTGGACGAATTCCGGCGGATAGACGCACCTTATCGTGATCGTATTCCCATTGGAACCCTCACTTTAACTTGTCGTTATTCGCAGCGGCTCAGCAGTGCGGCTCACAGTGCTTAGCAGATATCGAAGCTAATGTGAACACAAACTGTGCGTGGTGCAGCGCAAGCCACTCATGGTCCCTCTGTAGGCGTAGGTGTCCTGTGGCTGCCCACAGTGACAGGCAAATCCGTATACGAATGCCACCAATCTATGAACACAGACTCAAGCAATTCTACATTTGTGTGTGTTGTCACTGCTGAAAATGCTCCCACGCGGATGTATAAAGCTTATCTTGACTGACTTGGTTTTAGAGAACCATGTTCTGCTCACTTAGATTAATACTAGTATTAGCGATGCTATATCTGTCACGCCGAGCTGATTTGTATTCAGGTGAGTAGTCGGACCGCCCCGTCCATGCATATCCTGATGACGACGGCCACCGAAGACACGACCAGTGTCCATATACAGAACACACCCCGTTAGATCGGACGAAGATAAGGTTAGAATTTCCGCCTGTTTGTTTGACCAAATCAGTGTGTTTTATCGGCGAGTTTTGGGGTCACCGGAGGGCAGAGTAACTTAAATCGACACGAGCGTGTGATCCAGATTGAAACAAGTACTCCGGATTGATTTGCAGTCCGTTAAGCAGCCGCTCTAGCGGTAACCGTTGGGGAGGTGGGCAGTCGTCCAGGCGAACATGGTCATTAGGTGACTTACTGGCGTCAAGACCGCCAGAAGCTGTGCTGGTTGGCACAGGGCTCTCCCCTTGCTAGAATTATGGAGACACTCTCTTTAAAAATCTGCCATATTGCGAACTAATTTTGATAACACGATACATATCAGTTCTTGGAGAGTGAGGTAGCACTTCTTTTGACCGATGGGGTGCGGAGTGTGGACGTTTAGCGAACCATTCGGAAACAGTGGATCTCTTTCAGAGGACACGTTACTTCCATCGATAACATCAGTTGCGAATTTGGCGACTAACAGGAAAGTTGGATGTTGCATAAATAGAGGAAAACAACTAGGACAGACTTGAACTACTAGGTCTGGAGCTCAAATGGTGCTCCTGAACTGCCTGTTTCGCGAGAATTTCTGTTTTCGGTGCGATACTTTTGGCTTTAACCCAATAAGCTAATGGTTCCCCAGTACGGGTTTTTTTGTGACAAATCGAGCGAAGGGAAAACCACAAGTCTGATGCGGATTAGTGGGTTGCACACACCATCTCTTTTCATTTTTATGTCCCAACAATGTGGGTGTACGATAGGTTACCGATGTCAGATGTAACAACCATTGCAGTTTGATCATTGTAAGGTCACCGACAACACGACCTGCAGTGTCAGCTGTACCAAACATGAGCTGTACTCACATCAATGACCAGACAGCACAAGAAATTGCTATTTGAAACAACAAAGATCACCGGCAATGCGACTAGCGGCACCAATATAAGGCACACTAATATTCAACAGTGGTAATAGATGATTATTGAAGCAGGTAAGTAGTAAAACCAATTCTCATTGTGCATACGGGTTTGATGACCCTGAATACGGGCCGGTAGACAGTGGCGTTAGGGAATCATAGTTGAGATCGACGACACACACGTAGTTGGGTGATGGCTAGGGGGTTAATTTGGAATCGAGGAGAGAGGCTGACAGGGAAAAGCGTTACAATTCTTCTTACACGGAGAATAGGGTAACTTGAAACTAATTCATTCTGATGCGCGCAATTTTGCTGAAAACACTAAATCTGGCGGCGATGAAAATTTGGCAAACACACTGTTCCTAACAATCTGGAGGTGAGGGAAGTTCAACAAGGACGGATGTATTTGGACTAGTCTATCGCAGTGTGTGCTGGGATCTGACAGATGAACAGCGTGCCCAATCAAATGCAAACGGAACAGATTGCAATTCGTTTCCCTGTGCACGGCAGTTCACTCACGCTGTGGCTACGGCTACATTTTCCACTTATTTCCGGTATGGTCTCGGTGAGCTACCTTTCATCCTTACAAAGGTTTACCAGGATTTAGGACATCTCGCGCTGGACACTATATTAATGAATCAGTTATTGAGCATAATGATAGCATCAATTATGACTAATTTCACCACTTGCGTTTTAGCATCGTTGATGTTGTCACGTGTTTTTGGTTTGATCAACCATTTTGCTTGCAGCAGCTCCTCGTTCTTTTGTCCTCACTGCTCAGTCACGCAGTTGCGCAGAACGTTCAGTTTTCTGAATCAGCAGTTGAGCGGCCTTTTATAGCACAGTCGTAAATTTCACTATCGGTAACTGGATTGACCGTAGTGCACTTCTAAGTAGTTCGCAATCCAATTGTCTGTGTTACCGCACCCAGCCAACTGCCACTCCAAACTAGCCAACAACGATTCCCCATGTGCGTTGTGATGCATGTTTTCCGTAGAATTCCATGTTGTGGTGAGGTAGGCATCTACCGACAATTTCCACTTCTCTAATTGTAGTCGTATTTCGTTTGTCCCGAGTGAAGCTTCTGAAGACGCACGCACCTGGGAACGTCTAACTACGTACATTTACTCACATCAACTTGGGTTCATTTACGTCTAATTGTCACGGATCCGGTGTTAAAAATTTGGAATAGCGCAGTGTACAGTATGCGTATTCGTTTTATAATAGGCCGAATTCATCTTCCCTACTGGTTCTCGGTGCTATCCGTCTCGTGATTTGCCTGATTGCGCGGACTGTCATGGGATGCCTCCACCTACACAGGAACCATTAATGGTTCCCTTTCACGAACGGTTCCATCCACACCTTTCTTGTTTTGTACGAATTTTTTGGATAGTTGCACATGTGTGAATGTGTAACGATTGATTCGGAGTGGTCTTGTGCTCCCTCGTGACGCACGAACATGGAAATCCGAGCGTGTATGCGTGCACATGCTAATGGCTCGACTTCTTTCTGGTCTCATAACGCAGCTAACCTCTAAACTGAGTATCCTGTCTAAGCTTGTTCCTTTTTCATTCTTTCTAAAGAGCCAGACGGACACATGGATGGCGAACGCCGACGTTCGGCCTTCGACAGTGGTTGGTGGCAGTTCTTCCCCCTTCACCTTACCCGACGTCTGGTTCGACTTGTTTTTCTGGGTGTTAACGTATTAGAAAACTGCAGAGTCATTTTCGAAATGAGCACAGTCATTTCAGCGACAAGAGAGACGGTCGTCGTACGGCTCAGTCCTCACGGGATACCAGATGAATTGATCTCCGATAATGACCCTTAGTTTGCCAACGCTGAATTCCGGAACTTTTCATCTACGTGTGAATTTATGCAACAACGGACCATCCTCTACCTCGGTAGTCAGATTTGTAGGTTATGGTAGCGTTGAGACAAGGAGAAGGTCATGGATTTGTAATTTTGAGAGCGGGCATCATCGAACAAACGCGGTTACAATTAACCGAACTGATTGAGATTTATTTCAAGTTGAACCCTAGTGTCAAGAGAAAGTAAGAATTGCCTTGGAAATCCACTATTTTAGCGACTAATCGATTATTAACGATTATCGCATCGATTTCGAACGTTCCTGAATGTTCTTCTGCACGTGATTAAAAGCCACCTGACACCTCGGCAAAAGATATGGGGAACCACTAACCTTGGTAGCTGACCTTCCGATTCTAAAATTCGAAGGTCAGTAGAGACCTATAAATGCATCCAAGGTCCGCAGTAGTTGTACAGTGTTCGTTGGCGGCGATTAATACGTTATTTTGTCAAGGTCATTGGCGTTTTGTTTTTTTCCTTCGGTTGGGCTAGGAGTTTTGTGGAGCAGTGAATTGTTATTTTTGGAGTTGCGTCCAGTGAGAAGATTATAACACCTAGTTCACATTGTGACTGCGGATTGCAATACATTCCCGATCGAAATGCTTCAAATTCACTCCCGAGTAGCCTGCTTTCCAAGGCCGCTTTCACTCAACATATCTTACTTCTGGAGGAAAGCAACGCACTTTCATCGAACATTGATCTGAGTTCAGCCCAGTGGTTTTCCAGCACAGGCACGCAATTTCTGTTGGCCATATCTGTGGTATTTATTACAGCCGCGAAGACGTTTGGGAGACGGATGCTGGCTTAATTAGTAATATGGTTTCGGAGTAGGTATACTCTCGTGACTGGCGATAGACAAGTTGGTTTGGTTGCAGCGAATGGCGGGTGTTCGAAGGCGACAGGCTAAACGCATCGTGAGAGGTGATTTTATGTCTCTAGATGTGGTATCAACCACCTAGGGTCTGGTGCTATAGATAGTGGGGTGTGGAAAACACATTATTATGCGTTCTGTGCCACGGCGCATCGCACGGCGAAGATCACTCCCAGCGGTAAATCGTGCGGTAGTTATTACGTTTGTTTTGGGAGACCAGAAAGTTTGAGTGTAATCTGGGTAACTAATTGGAATAAACATCAAGGTCCGAGATGACAGCCTATCGGGCGCTGACGCGACAGGTTGTATTTCGTACCTCACCAGGTGTGTTTATCACTCTCCAGTGCCTTCGTCTTCTACCGGATTTTGTCGCCGTTCCAGTGAGATCTCTGTCAATTTCTTGCTCTTTAGATGACACGGATGCGCCAACATTTCAAGCGCCTTGTCACCATTACCTATGGAGTCCACGCTGTCCATTCCTTAATTTTCTGTCTCATGTTAGGGCTTAATCTCATTGTAGTATCCACGGTTTTTAAATAGTAAATGTTCAACTTTCTCGATTACTCCAGAAGCTCTGGAGTACCGTAGCCGATATAAACCCTTTCCAACATATCAATAACTGTTCTGTGATTGTTCTCTCTGCTTCCTCTGCAGTTGATCACCTTTTAATTCCCTATCTAGGTCAGCGCCCCCATGCATGTAAACTCTGTGACAAATCGTTTGCTGAGACGTGTACTTTGCGAAAACATATCGAAGCTATTCATTTAGGTGAGTGTGTGGCTACTAATATCACTTATCATTTCGCCGTGATCGACCACATTGCATTACTTTGTTTGATGTAACCATATATTACGTTTCTGTTCTTATCGTGTTCACTGTCCAGGGGCATCTTGTTTCTTAGCACATTTCAATTTCCACATCAACTCATGTGCTGTGAAACGAATGATCATGTAGGATCGTTTGGCTTCAGCTTCTGGCTTTATAGTAATTCAGAAACTTATTTGAGACTGTGTTCCGCATACTATTCAGTCACCATTTACTCCAGCTAAACCAACGCTGACTCCGCAACCATTTTGGCGGGCGTTGTTCGCAGACCTCGGCGATGTGTTTGTGATGGCTTCCGACAGCTCTCTTGACTTCCGGGGTCCGCGTTCCTTTTCCTTTATCTGGGCTGGTCTGGTAAGGATCAACGGGTAGCTCTTTTCTGAGTTCCCCACAACAAATTACATTCACTAGGATTATCTTAGACCCTACTTCGCCCTGCATAAATGATTCCGTTCTCTCAGCCACTTCCGGTTCGGAGATTTTGCCGAATGGTACATCCTGAGTATGGGGACGACCACTTTCCTTGGGTTGGATCCAGCGGTTATGCAAGCACTACTGAATAGACTGACTAGTAGCGATGCGCGCTTTGGAATGTTCTTCGTGCTTTCCAAGTGCAAAGTACTGTTGCATGACTGGGTCGATACGCCACCGGTTCTGAGTGTCATCGGACTGCCACTGGAAGTGGTCGATCGGTGCCTTGCTAGTTGCGCGTGTTCTTGTGATCACATCACTAGGAAATCGCCGGAGGATGATTCTGCTGCTGCACCTCAGTCGCGGTGACAAGGGTCGCACGCTAAACACGCTGGTGTACTAGTGAACTTGTTCACTGCCATTCACCACATCCTTGCTTCTAATGTCATCCCGAAGTGCTAAGATGCTGCGAGAAGTAGATATCCCTAGATGATTGGCAGATTTGTGGAAGATAAGCTGTTTCGATTCCAGTCACCAAAGTAAACACATTGTCAAGGTAGTGTCGATTCAGAGAGCGTACAGGAGATGCTGAAAGATGTACAACTGGTTCTGCCGTCGCATTTATGTACGAGGAGATGAGCGCGCCCCACGAATGTTCCGCACGGTTTGCCACCTATCGTTGGAGTAAGCGCAGGTGCCCATCTAAATTTGTCCCCTTTAGTTTCTTGCGAACTCCGAGTGAGTGTAATGTCACAGGGAACGTTCTCTGTTGACGGATATGACATAATATGCAGACACTGAAAGCTCCTATGTGAAATGGGGCCCAAGGATTGAGAGTGTGTTTGACCAGGTCAGTAAATAAATAAACACTTAACTCTTTTATTTCTCCATATTGTACGAAACTGTTCTTACATTTCTACAGCCCATCGGATAATTAGGCGTTGTCGTTCTGATTAGTAAGCATACGTCAACAAATTGTTTGTTATATATGTAACCCCTGAATAGCTTCATTCACACTTATATTGACCGTTTGTTTCGCCTTGATGTTATTTTCTTCGGGTCTGTTGTGTTCATTTCAGCTTTTCAGTTTGCGCCATCGCCGAGCCATTTTACCATACTCCTTGTCGAAGCAATGCTCATTGAATGGTCTAACTTTCCGACACTTCATTGGTGTAAGCCGAGGGCACAGTGATGTCAGTCCAACAGTCTCCCACAGATGTAGCTTGCGTCAGAGACCACTGGGCTCGCCACCCAAGTTAAACCGTCGAAGTTCGTTTTCCAGTAGTTTTAAGGTGATTTCAGCGGTCAGGAATACGTTGAAGACAGATCCATACCGTCTATGAGCAATGAGTGGTCACCTGTTGTTTGGGACACCTGGGCCTGAACATCATACACTTGTTGTTCACTGCTTGCTAACATCAAGTCTAAGCATGACGGAATTGAGCGCAGCGTTATTCGTGTCGGTTGGCATATTTATTGCGCTGCTTCTCTTTGAAGCACTATATCCACGAAATTTGCTTCGATCTCGCAATCTCCAGACTTGAGGACTATTAAAACCACTCATGAGTAGAAAATGGGGATGACTCATGTGGCTTCGGAGATGCGGCGGATAATCTAAACGATGTTTCACCCAACAATGCGTTAGAACTCCCAAATGGCACTCGAAGTTCTTAACAGCCAAAATAATCCGAAACTGTGCTTGTTCACTGAGGCTGGTGCCTAAAGCCAAACCTCTGCATTCAACTGGAATCTGTGGCTGGTCTTGCTCTACCATTGTAAGATGTGTGTTTCCCTGTATGGGCACTGTCACGACCGATTAATAACTCCTGGTATGGATTCCCTTACATTTCCGTTCATATTAAGCTTCCGCTATTCAATATACATACATATATATATATACATACATATATATATATATATATATCTATATATATATATATAGTGCCCCATGCTGAGGCTGATGTTGTATTCTTGATGCTTCTTCACCGCAGTTGAGCTAAACCAACTTGCACTTAAACTAGGTCTCTTTAAGCTGCATAAATTTCATTCCACTTTATTTGGTTTGTTCTGCCTCCCTGAATAATGTTCTGTTAACTGGCCACGTTGCTTACACTAATTGTGCTTATCTTCGGTAACTTTGTTGCGTTTTGTAGCATTTTAACTAAATTGTGGACACTTTTCCTTGTCGCGGATGCGTTGCTAACCAACTTACTTCATATGGTAATTTTGCGAAGAGTTATGCCACCGTATCTGTATGCATTATTGGATTTCTTTTATTTCATTTTGTCATTTTAGGGGATTGGCTGTTGTTTGACATCCCACGTGTGGCTGCGCTTGATGTGCATGTTGACAAGGTGCCTACCCACTACCTCGTCCATACTGGCTCTAGGAGACAGTTGGTCGTTGCTGGAGGGGACGGGGTGCACGGTTCTTGTGGCCGTGCTAGGCTCGAAGAGCGGTTGCATGCACTCAGTGTGGAGCGGACTACGGTCCAGCCACCGCCTTGTGTGCGGTTGATTCCCCAAACACGGCGTGCTTGTGTTTGCCTGTGAAGGAGTGTGGGCCGGCTCGGTTGATGAAACGTGGCTCCCATCCACATGCCTCCCGGTCTTATTCCTTCCTGTTTATATTGCGTATGAGGTGTGTGGATGGAGTTGTGGGTGGTGCAGCGCAAGCCACCCATGGTCCCTCTGTAGGCGCAGGCGTCCTGTGGCTGGCCACAGTGACATGCAAATCCGAAACCGGATGCAGCCAACCATATATATATATATATATATATATATATATATATATATATATATATATATATATATATATATATATATGGGCAGTCGAATGAGAATACACGAAATACACTGAATTCAGGATACCCCGCCAGCTGAAATGTTTTTTTTCGTGCGCTTTTGAATCCAAACAATGCCTGAGAGGGCCGCAATACAATGCACCCACGGGCAGCTCTCAGCGCCTGAGGTGATTTGAGCACCGCAACTGCCTACACAGGTCATCATCACCTCTGTAGAAGCTCACAACCTCCACACAAGCCAGGCCGGATGTTGAGTAAAACGGCACCGAGCGCAGTCGAGAGTCTGTCGCAGCGGAAGCATGAGTAGCGACTGAGTTCGATTTCATGGACAATCAACTCAAAATTCAGTCACCTTTCTGCGAGTCCCACTACATCTGGATGCTCAGATCTAAGGAACGACCGAGTTCACGCTTGTTCATAAGACTGCTCACTTTGGTAAAGATTACACGCAGACCGTAACTAAAATCATTGGACGTGTTTCAAGTGTGAGCAACAAGTTTATCCTGCTTCGTAAAGTCTTGTAAACAACCCGAAAATTTATGATACAGAGGTTTGTTTCCCATCACCATTTAATCTCTTCAGCTCAATGATAGCAGACTTGAGCCGTTCTCGGCCCACCGGATCCAATTCTGGACGAACGTGGATCTTTAAATTTTGCAACCTATTTTAGCTGGACCGTGAGTTGGTGTGTTTTGCATATCGAAGTACGCTGGCATTCGGGTTGCGTAAACGTTCACTGAATACGGTTGAACGTCACTGGTCACATGTTTACCAAATCTTACTGGCCGCTGGTAAATCCTCATGTGGTCAATCCAACAGCCAACGTGGACATTGGGTCTCTTCGTGCAGTCTCTGAAACTTCTTTATGCTCGCCACTACATTCCGGCTGGAAGCGAACACAACAAGACTCGCAAAGAACTCCGGGCAAAACTGCGTGATCTTATCGTGCGTCAGAGACGAAAGTGGCCGCTGCCCTTGGTAACCATCGGAAGTTATTCAGTCTGATACGGGAAACGGGCAGCAAGAGACCTGATGTTAGTGAAACTGTTTGTGACGCGCGTGGACAGCCTATCCATAACTTGTCCATACGCTTGGAGCATTGGGCTAAACACTTTGAAAGGAAATTTAATCGGCCAGATATTGCTCGCCGTGCTCCTTGGTCTGTCTCTTTGGATCCGTCGTCTCGTTCGTAATTCGAACGTGTGCTCCAACTGCCGGAGTTGAATAATGCTGCGGGACCAAAGGATTTACATCCAGCCCTCTTCAAGTTCAAGGAACCAGCTCTTGTTGCTGATATACACGAACTACTAGTGAAACTTTGGAGGCAGAATACTGTCCCAACCGTTTGGAGCCGCTCCGTCATAGTCCAAATTTCCAAGGAGGTTCACGTTCGGAATGCAATTATCATGGAACAATCGGTCTGATTTCCATCGCCTCAAAATTGCTTGCCTTAGTCATCCTTCACGGACTGACTAGCACGTGTGAAGGCCAGATTCGGGAAGAGCAAGCCGGGTTTCTTCGTGGTCCAAGCTGCATGGATCACATTTTCACTTTTGATCAGTTGTTGGAGCACGTCACATATATTTGCGGCCCACCTTTATCGTGTTCCTCGACATCAATGGTGCCTTCGATTCGGTTGACCGATGCGCTCTTTCGCACTGTCTGCTCTGGAAAGGGGTGCCCGAGAAGTATGTAAATAACATCCGAGCGCTTTACTCGCGTAGCTTAAGCAGTATGAGTGCTGACAGCATGCTGACACCGCCATACAGTATCTCTGGCATTGTAAGACTAGGATGCCCGGTGTCATCTTTCCTCTTCGACTTCGTTGTAGACGAAGTCATGGAAATCGCCATCACTGGACACGGCCTAGAGGGTGTGGAGCTGCTCCCAAGTGAACGACTTCTTGACTTACCGCATGCCGACGACATTGCTCTCATATTTGACAGTTCAAAAGTGCGCCAGACTGCGTTGGACAGACTAGCACTGGCTGTCAACCGTTTCGCGCTATGCTTTGTACCCTCGAAGTGCAAAGCTTTCCTCCAAAATTGGCAGCTACCGCCTTCCGAATTGACCTTTGGTGCGGATCAGCTAGAACTCGTTCAAAAGTTCAACTACCTATTTAGTTGTAACAGCGCCGTTGAAATTGAAGACGAGGTCGCAAACCGTATAGCAAATGCACAAGACGCTTTTGCTATCCTTCGCCACCTGTGGCGCCGGCGCGACATCACTATCTCCCTGAAGAGTAGAGTGTATAATGCAACCGTACGTTCAACTCTACTTTACGGTTGTGAAACCTGACCCATTAAATCCGCCGACATCGGGAGTCTAGTTACGTTTGACCGCTGGTGCCTTTACTGTTCGGTTCATATTTGGTGGGTATACCGTGTGAGCAGTGAACATGTTCAACTCCCTGCTTAATGGCATAGGAGGAGGAAGTGAACCGCTCAACACCGTTATCTTACACACCAGGCTCCGATGGTTTGGCCACCTGTTGCGTATTCCAGCATACCGAATCTCGCGACTTGCGTTGTTTGCTCGCCAGGGGTGTGTATTTATGATGCGGAGGGGTGGCCAAGCCATGACTTGGTCAAGAGGAATGAAGGTCCTTAATTCGAACTTGGTTTCGGATGGAGCCTCTCGGCCTTGTGGTTGGGGCCCATTAAGACCTTGGACTCGTTTGGTCGGTACACTTGTTGACATATCAAGGAGCGGACCTCATTGTCGTTTGTGTTGTGAGTTTCTTTGTCCATCCTCCTCCTGCTTAGCCTACTCATCCAACCACCATCTAATTTCCTAGGTATAGCATTACGCAATTTTGAGGCACAGCCGGCTAGTAGCTCTCTAGTACGATGCTCATTCGTATCTGGTGACTCAGCCGGCGTGCTTCTGTTGCATGAATTTTTTTACTTCTTTTCTTACGCATTGCGACACAATAGCTGAGGTGTTTTCCACCTCTAGCTAACGTGTTTGATGATAACCATAATGAAGCGGTACAAGATCAACCTCGGACCGACTCCGTCCACAATGGTTTCATTAGTCGACTTTGTTGATCACCATTCTTGACACGCCGACTAAATTAGTCGCTTTCATTCCGTCCTCACCCACGTCGAGGAGTCTACTATTTATTCTCCTTAAGAACTAGACTTCATGATCTTGGAGCATCTTGGCATTTAAGTCACTGGACTCAGGCGTGTGGAATGTCACGAGGTTAATACGCCTCTGATCGGCCAAGGTTGACGTTGCAGAGCGATGATTTTCTCTACCCTCGCGTGTTCTGGTCTGCTTTCGATTTGCAGCGGCTGAACTCTTTTTGTCCTTGTGCTTTTTCTTTCCTTCTACTCTCCATGTGTCAGCAGTGCACAGGCTTTCACACACCGGGACATCTGTACCCGTAGAATACAACACAGGTTAAAGGGTTCGTGTTAAGTGAAACTGGGCTGGTCACAGCCGCCGAACTTTGTGCCGGTGAATTTGCACTGCACGAACATCAAAACTTACATGAAGGCCCCTGGGATTCGCTTGTTTGGCCAAACGCACGGAACTGCTCACACAACGAAATGATTCATCCCACAATGTCACTTGCAATTCTGCTCTACTTATCCGGCTGTATCTCCTTTCGGCAATTCTTACACAAAATTTGAACGAAATCATCTTGGAAGTCACGAAAACGCCGAAAATGTTCATATTCCTTAGTCTATCGCCTGTACTATGAGATTTAAGGTGATATATAACACATGAGCACATTCGCTCGACTTCCGACAACTTTGGGACAGACACTGCAAGGGGATTGTTTCGGCACCATGAAAAACCCCAGACCGGAACAAAAACCAGTTGTGAAGCACAAAGCGATAGTAAGATCTGGGATTAAGCAGAGATGACACAGGTATTTGTGGTCGCAAAATCCAAAATCAAGGATAGAACTGAATGATATCGCAATTTCTACGAAATAATTCCAATGCACGGAGAAATCTGATGAGAACTAATCTTGTTGACACAACCAGGGGAGAATCGACCGGAGGCCGTTAACCGCAGATGCTGTCATGCCACTGGTTCTTGGTGCATCATCGCTTATTTTCAGTAATGCCGTGCTGAATGCAGCTGAGGGCTGTCTTCCGATACAACAAACCTGAGCCATAGCTGTCAAAAATGTCGCAGTACAGTTTAGTGCTCTCAAGATCCGGTTTAGTGCAGCGATTTATAGGCATATGCTGTATGTGGCTACTCCCCGGAATGGGTGAGGTGATCAAACAGTCCTCTCACTTAGCAATGCCCCATCACTAATCCCGAAGGATTTTTCCATTATTTGGTATGGCACCCCTGCTACGGAAACTTTCATCCCGCATAGCCCCCCCCCCCCCGTAAAACCACCATCACATTTTCGACACATAACATAACTTGTTACACTATACGTGGCTGTTTGCCCCGCGAAACGACATGGAGCGCTCAGTGTACTCGATAGTCTCATTCTTGCCTTTAAAGTTTGCTTCCTTTCTCTTCTCACAGCGCAACTAATTTGGTACCTCCTTCATCACCACTGCTTTATCACTACTACTCATCAGTACTTTGGTGGCGCTTTTAGAGGGCTTTGATTGAGGATCAGCTGAAGCAATATCCGCGCAACCCCGCATCTAATCCGACCAAGGCGAAATTTCTTTTGGTGGTCTTTTCTCCATTCTTTACATTTACTCTACACTGCCAACTGTATTCCCTTTTCCCTAGAGTCAACTACTTAGGTGCAGCTTGCAACTGTCGGATTTGCCTTAATATTCATTTGCAACCTTTTTTTATAAACACCGCGTGGTTATTTGTTTATGTGACCTATATTTACGATTCGATTCACATAACCGTCGGGAAAATGCCATTTCTTTATCGTTGTTTTCCGTTCATTCTATTTCTCTTCCGCCATTGTTGGTCACAGTTGGGCCGACTTCATGAAATCTATTTCCCAACTATTTCACGTTACATAAATTGTCACCGTCTCATAATATGAATCCTTAAACTCAGTGGTTGTTATTGTGGTTTTTGGAAACTATCATTTGCATTCTTATAATCTAACAGCTCATCTCCTTTTGCATGACTCTTTTCCAGATTCGTTTCATTTGTGCCTGTTAATTTTCGGCTTTCTATTCCAGAACAACGCCCCTTTAAATGTGAACTCTGTGGTGCGTCGTTTACTCAGAATGGCAGTTTGAAAAGGCATACCAGATCTAATCATTCAGGTGAGTGCACATCTGCAAGCATTGCTTCATTCTGCCTTAATCATATGAGGTAAACTATCGTTGATGATATCACGTGGCTTCTGTGTAATCAGCCATGCTGTCTGCAACGTCTCTTTGCTAGCTTTTTCTTATTACCGAGTTGCATCTTTTCTGCGAAGTAATCAGTTCTCCCCACCTACCGATGTGAAAGGAAACGATTTCGTCCTTCTGACTCCTAGAACGAGTTGCTACAAAACACTGTTTAGCTTTACACCTTTCCAAATTCAGCCTTGTCCATCGTAATCGGCGGCATACTTCGTTGAAATTGCGTTATCAGGATAGTCGTAGCACATCCAGATGTTGTGCATATCTGAAGGAATGGGTTGTGGAGTCATGTGTATGTGATTAGTCCTCCGTACTCCTTCGATACGCATGTCAGTGATGTGGATGTTGGAAAATCAGGGATGTAGGCGTGCGCAGAGCTGAGCCATTACTCCGGATCCAATGATGGGACTTGTCTAGGAGACGCACGTCACGAAGACTGCACCCAGGTTCTCTAATTTTCTTTGTAACGCTTCGTCCACAATGCCTCCTTCAGGATGATGTTAGTGTGTAGAAACTTGTTCCGGACGATGTGCACCGCTCTTTGATTAAATATGAAATCGCTGACTTCTTGTCTAGCCACCGTTGCTTTTACACTTCTTTCAGGCTGTGGACTGGAGGAAGTGGAATGCGGGTGAACCGAGATGCTTGAAGATATGTCCCTCAGCGCATCCTGGCGGGATATATTTGTGCATTGTAGTGTTGATTTAGCTGTATTACGTGTGTCTAAAGCTACTGAGAAACTTTATCAATATGCGATGGATTCACTAGTCTTGACGTCGGTGCTTCCTAGAAAGTGTATCCTTCCTCTTCACGGGCGAATATTTGTATGATCTTTTCCTCCCACCCATTGCGTCGATGGTAACCCTGTTGGTGCTGAGCCATTCGGCCTGTTTGCACGCACCGCCATCTCCTCCGCCGCGATAATCACGCCTTGCCTCAGACTACACCAAAGTCCACTGGCGTTGCCAGTCTACTTCGTAGTTATATGCATATTAGGAAGAGTGGGATTGAATTTACATAAGTATAGCAATTGAGCAGTGTCGGTTAATTATTCCCTCCTGCGGTTACTGGCCTGATTTCAAACAATTCAGATAGAGCCAGCCGAAATCGATCTGCGGGCAGTTGTCACTACTGCGGGCGTTCCGATAATGTGAGCTGATGCTTGGAATCCTCACTGGCTGGTTAGAATCATTATTCCATCCATGGCGATATGTGTTAACCACGCGAGACCTATGACTCACCAGAAGATTCCCTTCGGTGCTGTAGTGAGTTATGCGTTCATATGGACGGATAGGTCCACTCAGTGTATTTTTTGTGTGTTCTACTGACTTGGTTGCCATTGTGCTAGGTAGGGGAGCATTTACTTTTGTGCTTTTCGCAACCCTACTCCGTACTGATCGCGCATCTTCACGTCAATTGTAGATAGAACATCTAGTAACATAATCAATTCAAATGACATTGAAGTAAAGCACAATCAACGTTTAACCGTACATCCGATGACAAGTAATTGTTTTAGAAATGATCTCTCGGTTTACGCAAATTCGGAGTACACTCACTTCCCAAAGTAGAGGCCAGACGCACCTCGCAACCGCAACCACACATTGCATCACTGATATAGTAACAATGCTGATTATTATTAATATTATTATTATTACAGCTAGGTGACAAACAATCCTTACATTCATGGTTCCTTTCTACTCTGTTATTGCAGCTAAACACAACTACAAATCAAAACACAATCGCTGATCCAGGAGGAGCATCACCAAGTCTCTTCATAATGTGGCGATGCTTTGCAATACGTTACGTGTTCTGTGAATGCTTTTTCGACAGTACTTTGGTCTCCCAATATAATTGGACGCAATTGACAACGCGGCATTTACGTCCTATTCGCTCTTTTCAGATACACGTCTACAGATTGAGAATAACTGACCCCATGAATATGTCTGCAGTTTTCCGCTGTGGAACCCGTCGTCACTTTGCATTTGTCTTCCACCGCAACTTTCGATGCATTTGTTTCTTTGTACATAAGTTTACCTAATGTTTATCACTAATGTTCTTTGACTTGGGTGTGTTCGTGTCTTGTTTAAGGAAAGGGCTTCAACTACATTTATAAACCCCCAAACACTACCAAGAAACGTGCCACGGAACTGGATAGACTCTTCTGCCAAGTTTCCGAGCTACCGCTCATTCACAGCATAGTTCTACGTCGATCGGGACTTTCAGACAGCACCTCCAAAATATGTGTCTCATTTGGACACTACTACGTTATGTGATTGGACTCCGTACGTACGTGCATCCGCTAGACAAGACAATTTTTTGGCCGATTTTTCATAACTTGCATCGCCCGCTCATTCGTGAGTGTGCTAGACAACATTCAGCTTTTCAGCTAACTAACTTGAGGAGATGCGCTGTGTGACCTGGGTCCGCTTACCATCAACTTTAGCATATTAGATGGACTGGAACAGATTCTTCTTGGCGACTAATATTGATGTAGTATCATGCGAACTGTACAACGACGCTAACTTCGGCCTAGACTAATGCAACTCGGATGTAGATCGAGCTCACAGCCGACCTCGTTTATTTCAAAAACATTGCCAAACCCGAAAATGCCATCCATCTTCATCCTTTTATAGAAACAATGACACCATTTTGCAGTGAAGAAACACATTTCAACGAAGACAACGCAGGAGCGCACCGTGCGTCAAAGGCACTGCTGAAACATATTGTAGAGGGGCCGCTTCCAAGAATGGCTCTGGGGAGCTCTTCGGAGCTAGCTGAGAGCGGATCGCGAAAGACGGCTAGCGACGAGCCTGGGCCCGGAACTACGGAGCGGGAACATGTGGACAGCGCAATAAATCAGACAAATACGCCGCTAGCGCATCCCACAGCACCGAGGCCGAGCCGATTGACACAGCCCAGAACAAGCAAGGCGAGAGCTCTCGAACGACTCCTGGCCGACCCAAATCGGGTGCAGAGAAGCGGAGATCGAGGCGAAAACAGGAAGGCGGATCTTCCAAGTCAGAGCTCCCGAGGCGAAAGACTGGCTCGCCTCTAACATCCGTACCTGTGTTGCGTGGTGGGACGGAAATCTAGTCGATATTCGATGGCGCGCGCGAGACCCGGAGGTGCCCATTTTCGGTGTGCAATAAACGTCTACCCCCTGTCGTGTCGTTCTCGCTACAATATGAGTACTTGTGATGCGATGTCAGTTAGGTCACAAGTGCTAACGGATGAATAGTGGTTATTGACCAAGCAGCACTGCGAAATCCCAAACAAGTATTTTTGACTTTCCTTCACTGAGGATAATATGATACTTCCTAGCGTAACCTTTCTTCCACACTATCTTTTGGGGGAACAGTTCGCCCTGCTGCTCTTCTACCCTGGTCCCGATGGCTTACTTACTGCAGTGCTGAAGCTAGGTGGTCTCGATGTTCCACTCGAACACTCACTCTATCAGTGAGAATCAGCCTTTAGCCTGCCGCCTGTAACCATTCAGTTGTCCTACCAAGATAAAATGGTGACTGTCGCTAGAACATTAATAACCTTTTCAATCAGTCACGAGTGGTGTAGAGGATAGTCAAGGAACAAGTTCGTAAATTTCTGCTGCCACGCAGCTTAACTAACGAGTCCCAACATGGCCTTCTACCGTCTAAGTCCTGTCAAATGTGTCAATAGGAGCTTTTTGGTCCTTTAATTTATGAAACACATCCAGGCAACGCACTTGTTAGTCTTTTTTGACATAAAGAAAGCTTTCGACTGAGTTCCGCATGCTGCTTTATTGGCCAAGCTTCTGTCACTCGGTATATCGCATCAGCTGTTACCACGGTTCTCATATTTCACGGGGCATAGACAGATAGTACAGCTGGGTCTAGCGGAATCAAAGGGCTGGCCGGTATCCAGCGGTGTTTCTCCATGGAATGTCCTTTGTCCATTGACTGAGGCAATGGAGTCGGCATTTCCAGTCTACTGCACGTTTTTATGCATCACAACGAAAGCAAGACAGAATTTACAATGAGGTCTGCAGCCATTGAGCGGTATCAGCTGCTTTCATCCTCATGCGATTGTTGGAATTGCTTTAAGCAATCCAGGTACACGCAACCGATCTGCGGAAAATTTCCACCATATCTAGTGTGAGATGAAGCCTGGGATCCTCATGGGACCTTTTAAGTCATTCCACCGAAAAAGATACGTGTTTACCACGCGAGACCGATGATTCCCCAGAAGATTCCCTTCCGTGCTGTTGTTACTTTTCGTCAGCAGTTGGACGGATGTTCGTGCCTTCAACTGACTGACGTCTGTGTTTTTTGCAACACTATTACGTACTGCGTGTTTGCGCTCATATCAGTCGTAGATGCAACATTTTGCAGTATACTCAGCTCTAATGCCTGCAAACTTCCTCGGAACTTCTAGATCGTCGACGCCCCTTGCCCGCTGTCACGTGACACAACGAAATCCGTCTGTTTGTTTCTCTACAACTGTAAGCAAGCCTTCGATCTAACTGTGAATCCTGATGGTCTAAAGGCCCTGCTGAGATGAAGGCCGTTTCATTTCATTACTTTGAACTGGAGCCGGCTTTCGGATGACCACCACGTATAGGCCCTGTCGAGATCGCTGTTCCATTATATTGATGTCATACCACATTTTGACACCACTTGCAAACACTAGGAATTGGGACTGGATTACTCTAGCAATATCGTTCATAAATAGGATTAAACTTGGTCTCAGTACCGATCCTTGAGGCACTGGGCTTCACTAGGATCAGAAATGTAGCTGAGGACTCTCACACTCACTTGACGTTGATGGAGGAAGTTGTTTATTCAACAAAGCATAGGGTCACCAATCCATAACTTCGAAACTTTTGTGGGCGGATGTGGCGGTCCAGGCGATCGAACGCTTTAGTGAGGTCCAAGTAGACGACCTCGACTCCTATTCTGATTTCGATTGCTTCAGTCCAGCTTGCTCGGTCTATAAACGTCTTTGTAGTGTAAGGCCGATTTCGGCAGAACCCGTACTGATGTGACACTATAACAATGAAAAAATTGTTTACTTGTGATAAAATGGCTGCTGCATGACAGGTCCCGTAGGATGTTTATGGTGAAATTATAAAAATGGTGTTAGCAAAATTGAGTTTATACCAGTGAACTCATTGAAGTATAGGTAGTGTTGGCTGTAAATCCATAAGGAATGGCGGCAAATGGGATATTGGTAAAAGAATCGTGTCTCCCCCTGGTGTGCACACATACAGGAGGTGAAAATGTGGAACGAAATCTTGGATTTGTCCGCCAGTGAAATCGCATACAAACACTGGACTCATGTAACCTGGTGCTGCGAAATAAGTGCACAATCAAGTCGGGCTTTAAATTCTACCAGCGTTGGAACACATGGCAGATTCCGGTAGGGCATTCCACGTTCTGCAAACGCGAACGGAAAAGAATTTCCGACGGCATTCTGTCACCTTGAGATGGGGGCTTATCAAATTCCTGCTATGACTGAGCTCTAGCAATTAGCGGCAGGTGTGGTCGGGATCACTCAAAATCTGGTAGGTCAGGTTCCCAGAACGGTATAGACTTCCGCCTAATGCACCGGCAAGTAACCAAGGGCCTCCGGTACTTCGACTTCCATTTGCATTTCTTGCTTCTACAGTGAAATCGAAACAAAAATGAACAATCGTGTACTTTCATCCTTCATGAGTTCTCTGCAACGAGCATCAATAAGTTTACAATATTTTTGGAAAATTTTCTAACCAACATCTGTCTAGACTTCTCTTGAAGGCGTCAATCATTGTACACTTCATTAACGTAGGTAAAGCTTGTTCCAACTGCCAACAACGTGGTTCGCAAAGTATTCCCCCCCTGATGTCTAGCCGAAACCTCCGATAGGTGAGATTAAGATGTTGACCTCACAGGTGATTTGATGTAGCTGGCTCAAACATCTCGGTAGGTTTCCTGCCACTGAGACCGTTCATGATCCGGAAAACTTCCATTAGAGCTCTCAATCCACGCCTTCCCATTGAGAACAATCCCAAGCTTTCTGACCTTCATCATACGCTTTTCGCATTGACCTTCAACCATCCTAGTCGCCAGCTTCTGTACCTTCTCTATACAAATAACATCCTTCCGGAGATACGGCGCCCACACTTGGACACAGTATTCTAAGTGGAGTCGTGCCACCGCTTTATATAATAGAAGCATTACCTGCAATCTATTGTTACACAAGGTTCTCTTGAGGCGGAAGATTTTTTGCCGCGCCTTGGCAGCGTGCTGACATTGTGCTGAGGGTTTGAAGTTATTCGTAATAATGACTCCTAAGTCCCCTGCTTTATCAATAGGCCTCAATGTCAGGAGCCCAGTAGAAGTCTGCACTGCAATCCCCTCATTGCTGGAAGCCAGCACCTGGCATTTACTGGTGTTAAGGGGTAAATCCCATACGCCAAACCAATCTGCTATAGTGCAGTGCTCCTTGGACAACCTATCCCTATTACCCCTGCTAACCAGTTTCACATCATCTACAAGGATATTACGGGGTCCTCAAGAAGTGTCAAGTCATTCATGAATATGAGGAATAATAGGGGACCTAAAACAGTTCTGGAGAACGCATCTGTGAGCAGTGCCTATGTCTGAGATGGCATCACCGACTCCAACGTGGAAGGCACTTTCTAAAAGAAATTTTGATATCCAAGCCAACAGTTAAAATGAATGCCAAGCCAGACCAGCTTCATTAGTAGGAAACGGTGGCTTACCGAATCA